CCCCAACCAAACCCAAAATCAATGGATATTGTGCTCATCATGAGGGGATAAAATGAACCAACCAAGGCAGAACAGATCGTGGTGAATTTTGATATTTCCAAGTTCTGGAGGTCTCACACTCAAATAAACCAGGAATGAGCTAGAGGAACATCAAAGTCATGCATCCCTCTTCCCAAAAACTTGCAGATTAATTATTATTATTATCTTTTTTTGTTTTAATTTTTGATGTCCAGGAACAAATCCAAAGCAAATTGAAGAACCTCAAGGATGAAAGAGAAAGGCTCCAAGGATTAAAACTAAGCGGGGAGAAGAGAAGCCAGAAGTATCTGGTAGGTACTTTGCTGCTGCTCTAGGGTCTTCTGCAGGTCTGGAAGATGTTGGATTAGCACTTAAATTCGTAGTGAGGAGGAAGAACACCTCCAGTTGCTCCATCCAGATGGTCTCATCTCTCTTGGACTTGCTCCATCTTGATGGGTTACTCGTGAGTGAAACGCAGATGTTTCTCGAGGGGAAATGAGCAGCCACAAAATGTGAGTGGAGAGCGAGGTGGTTTCCAAATGGTTGGAGGGAGGTGCATGCAGCTTAGCTGAGTCACCTTCCAGACAGAGGAGATGGGCACGTGGGTCCTCCTGGCCCCATGATAAGGTAGTGGGATGGTGCTTCAAGAGTTCTCCATCTCCACTGCAGATTGCTGCACCCCAGGAACTGCTTTCTACCACCCAGCCCTGGAGGTGGGTCAGCCACATCAAACATGAGGTTCATGGAGGTGCTTGTGTCCAACTTAGACCCTGATGAGGTTTTTCTACTGCTGCACAACTGTCCAGGTCCTGGTGAGGGTGGTGGCTCTCATGGTAGCTTGGGCATCCAGATGCAGGTACATCTCCTTTGGAAAGTGCATCATGCCAGATGTTTCTACCACCTTCTAGACCTGTTTTGGGCTCTCAGAGGTTGGGGGATGGATTTGTAGCTCTAAGGAAGTGAGAGAAGGTGATTTCCTCAAAAGCAGAAGCAGAAAGCGTGGCAGATGTTTCACCGCAGCTTCATGAGAACAGGCAGGCTGCTGGGGTGAAGGCAAGCAGAGATGGGTCATGGCTTTCCTGCTAAATAAAGTGGAGATGGAAGAAAAACATCATGAACGTGCTGCTGGTTGCTCATGTTATGGTCCCTGGCCTGGATTTGGTCCTGTCCCATCCAGCTACTGCCCTCAAAGGCAACATTTTGGGGGAATTGCAGGTCCCAGGGACTGTTTCTTCTGCAGGATCTCACCAGATCTGAATCCTCCTCTCACCCTGGTGTCTTCAAACACTATCCCAGCAGGATTTGTCCCATCAAACACTTGCAGGTGCCTGCATGCAACACCTGATCTTCTCCAAGCCATGGGAATAAACGTGAAGCAACACTGCCCGCGTATTTCTTAAGCTGAAAAACAAAACCAACCCCCTGAGAATCATAGAATGGTCTAGGTGGGAAGAGACCTTAAAGACCATCTAGTTCCACCCCCTCTGCCATGAGCAGGGACACCTTCCACTAGACCAGGTTGCTCAGAGCCTCATCCAACCAAGGCCGGAAGTATTTTCTGACTCCACAGGGCATCACATCAAGCTCAAAGGGGACCAAGAACCATGTGTGATGGACTTAGACCAGCTTCAGGGCCAAAGACCAGTCCTTGCTCCTATTTTATTTAACCAGGTTTTGTAGGTCTTGGATTTCTTCTGTTCTTATCCCACCTCATCTCTTCCTTACAGCAGCAGACAAGAGCCGAGAGGTGGAAAATCATGTTGGTTTTCAAGCAGCTGCACCAGTTCCAGGACGAGCAGGAACGTCTCCTCCTAATGTGGTTGGAGGATGTGGAGAAACAGATAGTGCAGACCCAGCTGGAGAATGACAGGAAGATCTCTGTGGAGATATCCCACCTGGGCAACCTCATCCAGGAGTTGGAAGGGATGAACCCACAACCAGAGAATAAATCCCTGAAGGTGAGAGCGAGCAGCTGGGCAATGGAGTTTGCAACACTCTGAACGTGCTGTTGAGGTGGTGGTGGTCTCCTCCCCTTCCCCCCAACCTCTTTGGCTTGACATTTTGAGTAGTTTATTTAGATGGTCATTGCAGGAAGAAGCTATATCATAATGGACCAGACTGAAGAGACCAAATGGGCCACTAGATGAGTACAAGAGGTCCATCCAGTAGCCCATTTGGTCCCTTCAATCTGGTCCCTGGCTAGAAGATGGTTCAAGGTTTAATTCACATCTTCTCTCTTCTTTAGGATGCCAGGAGCGCCTTGACCAGGTACGTGGTTCTCCCTTTCTGGAGGGGATGGTTGTCCCCAGTGCAATGTCACAAAGCAGACACAAACAGGGGAGCAGGAGGGGTTATCTTCTCTACCAGAGTCTTCAGCGCTCAAGGTGAGGAAGAAGGTAGGGAGGAGATGGCCCTGGGGTGAGATCCTGTCCCCACCACCTCTTCCATTCAGTTTGAGTAAGCCAACATCCACCATTGAGGAGGTCCAGAGCAAGTGTGTGTCCTCCACGGGGACATTGGGACCACTGATACCTCCAACAATGTCTCCACTGACTCAACCCAATGCTTGGGGAGAAATAAGCTGACCCAGCAGCTTTTCTAAGCAAGGAGTGCAAAAGTCTTCTTCTTCCAGGTGTGAAGCAAGGACTTTCCAACAACTGACAGAAAAGTTTCCCAGAATGGAAAAGAGACTGAAGGATTTATCTCAGAAAAACATCGTTCTGAAGGAAGCCCTGAGGAAATTCAAAGGTACAAAGGAAGGGGGAAATATCTAAGCACTCTTCTTCAGTTGGAAAGGAGTGGACATTAGCCAATTAGCAGCATAAAGCCCTGGTTAATGATGAATTAATCAATAACCCTCCTATCCAGGACTGGAGCTGGAAGAAGGAGGGTGATGGTGGTCCCAGATGTATTTGGACACACATCTGAGTGCTTGAGTAAGGTGAAGGAGGAGACCGAGCTTCTCCCTTTAGCTACACAAAGGAAATCAATGAAGAATTTAATCCTGGTCCTATTTAAACCAAACAGGTTGTAGGTTAACATCTAACTATCCAGAAAAGTCAACAAGCAGATGGTGGTGTAGACACAGATCAAGCCCCAGTAAGCTAGTTTGAGACCGTTCTCCATGTTCACGCAACTGTCCCGTTCCCTCCTCTCGTCTCCAATTAGTAATTGACGTCGTCAGCTCTGGATTAAAGAAATATCCTGACAAAACTGATCGTATTGGGTTTGAAGGTCTATCTATCATAGAATCATAGAATGGTTTGGATTGGAAGGGACCTTAAAGATCATCTAGTTCCAACCCCCCTGCCAGCAGCAGGGACAACTTCCACTAGACTAGGTTGCTCAAAGCCTCATCAATCCTGGCCTTGAACGGTGGGCGCAGCCACAGCTTCCTTGGGCAACCTGTTCCAGTGTCTCACCACCCTCACAGTGAAGAACTTCTTCCTAATATCTCATCTAAACCTCCCCTCTTTCAGCTTAAACCCATTTCCCCTTGTTCTGTCATTAACTGCCCTTATGAAAAGTCCCTCCCCAGCCTTTCTGGAGCCCCTTCAGGTACTGGGAGGCCACTAGAAGGTCTCCCCAGAGCCTTCTTTTCTCCAGACTGAACAACCCCAACTCTCTCAGCCTGTCCTCACAGCGGAGCTGCTCCAGCCCTCGCATCATCCTGGTGGCCTTTCTCTGGACTTGTTCTAACTGGTCCATGTCTCTCTTGTGATGGGGGCTGCAGAACTGGACACAGAACTCCAGGTGGGGCCTTACAAGAGCGGAGTAGAGGGGCAGAATCACCTCCCTCGACCTGCTGGCCACGCTGCTCTTGATGCAGCCCAGGACACGGTTATTGGCCTTCTGGGAAAGTCCATGAGTTGGACTTGTTCATCCTGGTCTAATACGCTTCCTCTCCCCTGTAAGCAAACTAACAGGACTTCTCTCTTCTTTCAGAGAGTCTCCCAGTTGAACTGGAGGTGCGATGGGGTAAGTCATGGTAAACTGGAGTTGAGAAAAGACAGCAAAAGCAGGGAATTCATACTGTCCTGGTGGGTTGGCAAGGTGATTTGTTATTCCCCTTTGATGGGAATTAAAAATAATACAAATCATTAGATCTGTATGGCATATTTCATGGAGAAAACCTTTACCAACCAGTTTTGGTTGGTCAGGCCAAGGACTTCATCCTTGGAAGACAACAGGAAGGTGTAGATGGAGAGAAATATCCATATTTTTCCTTCTAACATACTGTTTTTCTTCTCTCGTGCTTTCATCAGCAAACGTGACACTGGATCCAGACACAGCAAACCCCCACCTCATTCTTTCTGAGGATCGAAGGAGCGTGAGGTGGGATGAAACACCCCAGAACTTGCCTGACAATCCCCAGAGATTTGATACCTACTGCTCCGTGTTGGGTCGCGAAGGCTTCACGGCGGGGAGGAACTATTGGGAAGTGCAGTTAGGGAGCAGAGGATTTTGGGCTGTAGGAGTGGCCAGAGATTCAGCATGGAGAAAGGGTTGGATTAACCTTGACCCTTCCCAAGGAATTTGGGCTGTTGGCATCTGTGGGGACAGGTTTCAAGCTTTCACCTCCTTCGAAACAGTTCAGCCTCTGAATGGGAGACCAAGGACTATCCGGGTCTCTCTGGATTACGAGAAGGGACACGTGGCTTTCTTTGATGCTGATAATGAGACCTTGGCTTTTGCTTTTCCTCCGACTTCTTTCAATGGAGAGAAAATCCTGCCTTTCTTCTGGGTTTGGGAATCCAAGATCCAGCTGGTTCCTTGAAACAGGATGGGCAACAAGATGGACATGACATGCTCTGGAAAAACCTTTGGTTTGATCCAGGCAACCACACTGTATTTCAGGACTTTATGGATGGTAAAAAAATAAAGTGGATTAAATGAGTCCCGGTGCCCATTTTGAATCTCATTCTCCTGGGGTTTTCAAGAGGAGTAGGTTGAGAAGGGATCATCTTGGCCAGACCTGTGGATTTTTTTAAATGTTTGGGTACTGTCCAAGATTTTGCTACGGATTATCACCCTGGGATGAGCAGGAAAATGAAGCCTATACTTTGTGCAACAGCTCCTGGGACACCAATTTCATGGTTTTAATCCCTTCTACTCTTCTCCCATCCTTTCAAATTTTTCCTGACCTTAGCAGTCAATGATGTTGACTGTTGACATTCAGCAATGATGTTCCTACAGGGCTGAAGGCTCTGGTTCCTGGTTTAGTTACTAGAAAGGAGCAGTAAGATACCATTGAATTAAGTGTAATATCTACTCTTTTCCCACCAAGATCTCTTCCAAGCCAAAATACCTCATGGTATTGGCAAGAACATACCCATTTTAAGGCTTTGGTGTTGAAGCTTGTGGATTTTCCCTCTTTTTCCGAGTTGTGGGGGTGGAAGAAATCAGAGGTTGGAGGTTAGTAAAGATGAACAGAAAGAGCTGAAAGTCTGCCTTTCTGCAATTTTTGTAGATTTACATTTCAGAAAGCTTAGTAAAAAAGAGTTTAGTTTACATTTTTATATGCAAAACAGTTTAATTGACATTTTTTATATGCCAAATGACTGCATTAAAGTGTCTTTCTTTATTTCAAGAGCTGTTTTCTCATTCTTGGTAGAGTGAAAATAGTGCTGGGCCACCAGCAGAGTGGCAAACCCTTGAGACTCTGCTGCCCTCTCTTGACCTGTTTCTTGTAAAGCTCAAATGAAAGCACTTAACGAAGCCTTTCCTGCTTCATCACAACTGTGATGGAAGGGAAGCGCAACGACTTTTCCTACTTATGATGGGCCTGAAAAAAACCCCACGTGGACTGGAAACCACTGGTTGAAAGGTAACGGCAAATGAATGAAGCTGGGAAGAAGGGACATCAATTTTTGGAAGTAAAAGGCATTTAAAGAGCAAGAAAAAAGAAGGGAAAAACATCAATCCAGGCTCTCAGTTATGTCGCTGCAGATCAGAGAAACCTTCTGGGATCTCTTGCAAGGTCTTGGAGGTGCCAGCAATCTCCAAGAACATCTTAGATCCATCATAGTTTGATGTCTCACCTTACCCCAAGGGCAAAACTGATGTCCCAGGGGTCAGGAGCAGCAGAAATTTCTTCTTAGGTGCTAGTAGGATGTGAAATTCCTGTTCTAGCTGCTCTCAAACTTGTTCTCCAGTAAATAAATGAATAGATAGATAGATAAATAAATAAATAAATGAAATATCTTTGGAGTCACCAAATCTACAAGTCTTCACTGATTCAAAGGGCAAGTTTTGGAGACTGAAAAATCCCAGTGCTTTCAGGAAAGGGTAAAAAAATGGGCTGGACATCTCCAATTCTCCACCTTCCCAGATATCTAACTGCTACTTTCCAGCTCTGTCAGAACATTTGAGGTCAGTATTTTGCCTAAAGCTCTGCTGGGAAAGGGGCTGGATCTCAGTTTAACCAATGGCTTCAAATCAGGGAGAGAAATTTCTCTCCTTCCTGATGATTTGAAAGTGAAACCAGCGTGGTCCTTCTCCATGGCTACCAGCAGATCTGTGAAAAGCCTCCAAGATGAAGCCTCATGCTCCATCTGGTTGCAATTTTTCCAGGACCCCATGTCCATCCATTGAGGGCATAGTTTTTGCTGGTTGTGCATCACTCAGAACTGGGAAGGACTGACCACCAACTTCTCCTGCCCTCAATGCAGGGAGTTAGTACCCCAACAGAATCTCCAATGCAACTGGAAATTGGCCAATATTGTTGAAGTAGCCAAAAGCTTGGACCTGCAACTGGTCAGAGAGGTGAAAGGAAGGGAGAACTTATGCAAGGAGCACCAGGAAGCCCTGAAGCTCTTCTGTGAAGATGAGGAAAGGTTTATCTGTGTGGTGTGTGACAGGTCTAAGGTGCACTGCACCCATTCCTGTGGACGAGGCCGCCTGAGAGTACAAGGTGAGGAGGTTTTGGAGAACATTGATGCACAAGTTCCTTATATTGCTGCTCTTGATGGGTGCAGATAATCTGTATAACCTTTGGGATAAACCATCTGTAGACTCACCCTCCTTTGTAGACCCACCATCTTTGTCTCTTGCCTGTGCACGTAACTGCTGAGTGAGCTGTCCTTGTCCTTCTTTC